TTTTTAAACAAGAAGAGGCCTACTTTTTGGCGTCTAGTACTTTTGAAGAACCAAACTAGGATCCTTGGGCATAAATATAGAGGAATATTCCATTGTCTGGTAATACGTTTCTGTTTTGTAATGATAGAGAAAAATCGTCACTCCCTATCCATTTTAAAAATTCTTAAGTGTTTGTTGGTATTCAGGCCGGCCGTCATGGTGCTACAGGAAGGTAGGCAGGTGTTGATTAGATGTAAGGATTTAGGTAACCCACAGAACTAATTTTTACATCAATTCTATTTCTGTTGTTTCTCCAACAGGATCAGTATGGAAACTATGTAATCCAGCACGTATTGGAGCATGGTCGTCCTGAGGATAAAAGTAAAATTGTAGCAGAAATCCGAGGCAATGTACTTGTATTGAGTCAGCACAAATTCGCAAGGTACGAGCTTTGCATTCATACAGACTCTGTTTTCCAGAAGGAATTATTACATTGTATTTCAAGTCGAGGGAGAAAGAATGAATTTTCATTCTCTTCTTTCAAAAATGTTTTTCTCAAGGTATATACAGCTTAAAACGTCAAATGGTTCTACTATCATAGAGTATAAAACAAAGCAGGTCCCTTAGTGGCTCTTCCCGCCCCCAGTCACCCACTTTGAAATACAGGGATTATGTTTCTGAAGAGCTTAAATCTTGTACTTTGGTGAACTGGGCATTTTGTTAGCTTACTTGTTCTTGTTCTTCACTCAGTTTCCTCTCTGGTGCCAGAATTCAGACGTAGTGTATCATGTTGATGTATAGGCATTAGTACTCTTTGAGTCTCTTTTCCAGTCTTCATGTTGTGGCAGATCAAGAATAAAACGCACTAGTTATTCTCAGGTTGTGAAAGATGTTTTAGGTGACTTACAATCAGCAGTGGTTGGAGAAGAAATTGATGGCCCTTCCAAGGGATTAGTGGTATGGTCTTCTGAGTGGAATGGGTGTACAAATATAGTCATTTGTACTTTGGGAATATTTTTCTCTGACTCTTAGGATAAATTCCAAAGCAGTTGTGATTCTACAACCTTGTTTTTAAATTGTTCATCTCTAAGTTTTTAAATTTTATGAGATGGCAGCATGGAAAATAGAGAAAAGGAATAAACGCGCTCCTAGATCCAGTGTCTTAGCAGCCTAACCATATCAGGGTCTCTTAGACCTTGTATTGCCTTTTTATTTTTTTTATTTTTTTATTTTATTTTATTTTATTTTTTATTTTTTGGACATTTGCCAGGACCAGGGAAGCAGGGGCAGAATCTCTTAGAACTCTTCCTTGGGTCACTGTCTCCTCTTGTTTTTCAGTGCATTTAATATCTCACTCTTAAGTGTAAGTATTAATGCTACAATAGACTTGTGGTCTGGTAATGACTGAAAAGCTACTTTGGGCCCAATCCTCCCACAGATAACAGACAACTGTAAATTGTGGACAAAATGCCAAAAATTTTGCTGAAGGCATTAGGCGTTACAGTGTGGCCAAGAGCAGGTGGTTACCAGAAGGGGTTGGGGAAAGGGAGGCTTATTGATACTGGGAAGGAGGTAATTGCACTGGGGAAATTCCCGCCTGCCCCTTTAGATTTTTCTTTTTTTCTTTTTTTATTTTGAGGGAGGGAGGGGGAGAGAGAGAGAGCATGTGCAAGAGAGAGAGAATTCCAAGCAGGCTCCACACTGTCAGTGTGGAGCCAGATGTGGGGGGAAAACCCACGAATCATGAGATCGGACCATGAGATCGTAGCCCGAGCTAAAATCAAGAGTCGGATGCTTAACCAAGGGAACCACCCAGGCACTCCAGAGTTTTCTTTTTGTATCGAGTTGTATCGAGATATAATTGACAGCACTGTGTAAGTTTGAGGTATGCAGCATGTTGGTTTGATGTATTTCTGTATTACAGTATGATTACCACAGCAACATCAGCTAACACCTTTATCATGTCATACATACAATTATTTCTTCCTTCCTTCCTTCCTTCCTTCCTTCCTTCCTTCCTTCCTTCCTTCTTTCCTTTCTTTCTTTCTTTCTTTCTTTCTTTCTTTCTTTCTTTCTTTCTTTCATTTTTTTAAAAGTTTATTTGAGAGAGAGCAGATGCGTGCACACACAGGCCCTGGGGAGGGACAGAGAGAGAATCCTAAGTAGGTTCCGTGTAGCACAGAACCCAGCTTAGGGCTCATACTCCCAAACTGTGAGATCATAACGTGAGCCCAAATTCAGTCAGACGCTTAACTGAGCCACCCAGGTGCCCCAATTACCATTTCTTTTTTTGTGTTAAGAACACCATTCAGATCTAGTCTCTTAGCAACTTAGCATTTTTATAGTGCAGTGTTGTTGACTATAATCAGGAAATTTCCCAGTTTTTAAAAAAAATTTTTTACATTTATTTTTGAGAGACAGAGCACACGTGGGGGAGGGGCAGAGAGAGAGAAGGAGACACAGAATCCGAAGCAGGCTTCAGGCTCTGAGCTGTCAGCACAGAGCCTGACGCGGGGGCTGGAACTCACAGACCTTGAGATCATGACCTGAGCCGAAGTCTGACGCCTAACCAACTGAGCCACCCAGGCACCCCAAGGGAATTTCCCAGCTTTAATGGCTTGTAGCCTATAGGTGCTTCTCATTCTGCTCCATGCTGGGCTTCTAAAGTTGGGATCAGAAATCTCCAGTGTCCCATAAGGCAGAGTTTGGGACAACCGTGGCAATGAGAGTGACAAAGTGACAGGGGAGAAATCCTGGAAAGGAAGAGAACCAGGGACGGGGAGGCTCGCATTTAAACTTCCCAAATACGTGGTTGACTCCTGAATCACGTTGGTTTGCATGGGCTGAACCTGAGGCAGCCTAGCTAAGGATGGAAGTGCTGCACTGGGATCCCTGCGGCCTGGGACAGGCTTGCAGTTTGAGCTCAGCGAAGTTAACTACACTGAAAAAAGGAACAGATGTCACCTTCTTGGAAGAACATAACAGAACTGTTTCTACGGTGTATCATTCATTATGTCTAGAAAACAGGAAAATGTGCTGTTGGCCATAATCAAGAAAAAAGAAAAAATAGGAGAATGGAAAACTGCAGCTAGTTCCACACCACCCTGACATTAGAGTTAGCAGAGAATGATTATAAAGCAGCTATTTCAGTTATAGTCAAAGATGTAAAGGAAGATACGGTTGTAATGAACGAAAAGATATGCTAGTAGAGAATTAGAAGCTTTACTGTGAAAAGAACAAAGTGGAAATTCTAGAATAGGAAAATAAATCATCTGAAATAGAATTCACTGTGTGGCTTTAGTATCAGCAGATTAGAGAGAACAGAAGAAAGAGCTGATATACTTGGAAATAGATCAATAGAAACAAAACAATAAAATAGATGAGTGACTTTCTGACGTTTTTGGCAGTGACCCAGAATAAAAAGTAACATTTTCATTGACTTTGCATGCACAGGCACATGCATACACGTGTAACTGAACAACTGTGTTGTCCATGATTAATTGTTGCATTAAAAAGCAGCAGCAGCTGGTCCCAAATCACTAAGATGATCTCCCTGCCCACAAATGGGCTGGGAGCTCCGGTTTTAGAAACACTACAATAAGCTTAAAAGACTGCAGCACCATCGGTCATGCATGAGGGTAGAAGCCTTTGGCCAAGTGGGATCCCATGGTGGTAGCTGATTGACCTGCTTGCTTCCTTGGAAGACAGGTCACTGTTGAGGCTTGAGTCCTGTATCCAGATGAGTGAGTGTCCTGTCCCCAATCCAGTTAGGAAGTTCTGTTCTGACGCGGACTGATTTGTTATGGAATGAGGCCTGGAGTGGACAAAGGTACATACAGTCTAGCCGAGCGGTCCTGACAGGTGATGAATTCTTTGCCTGAACATTTGGAGATCATGACTGGCTTTGTGCTCTCTGAACCAGCTCAGTAATATCTTAACTCCCTTTTCTGCTGAGGAGAAGCCAGTGGTTATTAGGAGATTCACTTCCACGGTGCCACACCTTAAGCTCACACTAGAATAGAACTGTATGTTAGTTGTATGTTTAGTGCTATGGGAGGAAAGTGGGAAGAGAAGGTTTTCTATGGTGTGGTGTCAGAAGGAGAGGCTCTTGTCTTAATTAGACTTGACCGATTAGCTCACCAGACTTGATCTACACTGCATATCTTAAGAAATGCCCAGTAGGTTGGTAGTTCTTGACAGTTTAGCTTGGGAATTTGCTTTTCTAAATGAAAGCAATATATATAAGCTCTGTGTTCAAAATGATAGAACACTGGGAGCTCCTTGGAGCAGCACCCTCTTATGGTGTAAAAACTTGTGGAGTAGGGGATTATCCTGGTGATAGTTACTTAACTACTGAGATATCCACAGGTCTGGCCTCTGGAAGGAGTAAGACACAGAGTACCTGCTCTAAGGTGCCTCGTGAAGTCGGTATATTTGTCCTTTTTCAGTCCCTGAAGGCAAAAGTAAGACAAATGAAGAATGTTTAACAGAGCCATTCACCCCCATGGTAGGTTGCCCTAGAAAGTAATGCTTCCAAATTATTAGAAATTCCCAAGCAGAGGCTAAATGGCCATCTTTCAGGATTGTCACAGAAGAGCTTTATTTTTTTTTAAATATACTTTGTGTGTATGTATGTATTTTTTGAGGGGGGGCACAAGTGAGCAAGGGGCAGAGAGAGGCACAGAAAGAGAGAGAAGCGGGGCTCACCCAGAGCAAGGCTCATGTTCACCCAAAGTGGGGCTTTAAACTTGTGAACCATGAGAGAGTGATCTGAGCTGAAGTCAGATGCTTAACAGCTGAGCCACCAAGGTGCCCAGGGGCTTTCTACATTAGCTAGGTCTGGTCATTTAAGTCCCTACTCTCTCTGAGTGTTCTGTGACCCAGAGCAGCCCTTCCCCCAGTCATGGACCCTTTACAAAGCCTTCAACTGCCCATCGGCCCACCAGACGTCCTCTTTCCCAGGTATTGGCTCCAGCAATCCACATTCAGGTGGTGTGTATTCTTTGACATCACCCAACTTCCTCAGACCCACAGACCCACAAGATGCAGAGTAGTGCTGATTTTTAGAAACAAACATTAATGAGTGAATCAGTCCCTCCTTGATGAGAAATACGCATTGGCACAGCTGTATGTAATTTAATCACCCTCTCTGGCCCCTCTGGATTTAGTGTAGCCACATTCCTGTTTTCCTTTCCCAAGATGATGTATTTCTGAAGTGTTTAGAAATGCTGACAGACCTGTAAGGTGGTTCTTGTCCCTAGACTCTTAAGAGGCAACCTGAGGTCATTGAGTGAGTGCTGTGGTTCCTCCTCGTACACTCCTGACTCAAGTCTGCAAGGCCTCTCTCTCAAGTGCCGTGCTCTGTGGTAGGCACTAGAAATACAGGCAGTAAGTAAGGCTTGTTCCTGACCCTTAGTACACTCAGAAGAGGAGGGAATTCATTGATTTTGGTTATGTGTTGAAATTATAATCATCAACAAGTTCAGCTTTTAGCCAGTCATGTGAGCCTTTATGTAAGTCCCCTCACTCACCTGGGCTCATTACCCTCACCCAGTTAGCGGGTTAGGGCTCGTATTCGCCCGACACCTGGTCCCAGCCATGGGTCACATTGGAAGCCACAGATGACTCCAAGGTGGAGGCTCATAGAGTCAGACAGTTGATGAATTCATCTTCCAAAAATGTCAGGCTCTCTTCTGCTGCTGACAGTGAGGTCGGGGCAGAGGCCGGACAAGCACAGCCTCACAAGGTTTGTTCTAAGGGTTGTCCCTGGATTTGTCTTATTATAGCAATGTCGTGGAGAAGTGCGTCACTCATGCGTCCCGTACGGAGCGTGCTGTGCTTATCGATGAGGTATGCACCATGAATGACGGTCCCCACAGTGCCTTATACACCATGATGAAGGACCAGTATGCCAACTACGTGGTCCAGAAGATGATCGATGTGGCAGAGCCAGCACAGCGGAAGATCGTCATGCATAAGGTAGGCCAGGCTGGACAGGTCACACTCAGAGAAAGCATGCAAGGCCCGCACTAATTCACGTTTCTGAAATGCGGATGAAGGTGGGCATCTGGCTTCTTTTAGTGCAGTTTGTCACTGGACCGTGTCTCAATATGTTTGTTTTCCTTTTATCTAGAGTGGCCATTGTCTCCGTGGTTCATAGTTCACTGGTGTGAAAGAGTCTTAAACTCCATCTTTGTGAGGGTTTTCCCTCCCTGATCCTCAGGCCGTGTGTCTCGTCCTCTGCTCCCACTGCCCCCCCACCCCCCCGTCCCCAAGCTTCTCAGTCCCACAGATCAACCTGATTGTCTTATTGCCTTTTCTCCTTCTTCCCTTTTGTTCATCCCACCACCTTTTACTGAGCAAGTGCCTGGCCTGGCACACTGACCTGGTGCCCGCTCTGTGCCAGGCGCCAGCGCGGGGAGGACGAAGACTGGTCCCTGCCCACAGAGCGCAGCGTGGGGAAGAGCCGTGGAAAGCTGGGCCGGGGGTGGGGGGACAGGGGGGCATGCAAGAGCACGTGCCCGAGGCTCGGCGGCAGGGCAAGTCCAGGCTAGGGAGGAGCGAGGAGAAAAGGGACGGAAATCTGAAATGTCAAGGTGCTGTGTGGGGGGGAGCGACGCCGAAAGCCCCAGAAGCAGCCCGTGCGTGGCTGGAGGAACAGTCGCAGGGCAGGCCCAGCCAGCAGGTGAGCCGCAGCTGTGTCTGTGCTGG